TAGGCCTACACAGGGTCAGGATCATATCACTGTCTTCCGCCTCCACGTCTTGTCTCACTGGAAGGTCTTCAGGGGCAATAACACATAGCGCTGTCACCTTCTATGATAATAATATCATAGATGCTGCATGGAATTTTCTTTGATTTCTGGCTATAAAGTCTTCTCGGAAATTTTGATTCCGTGGCAGAATCAGGCCAGCCAATCAAGGTCTCTTAAGATTCTATATGAAGTTAAGGTCAGTGTTCTTCCTCTAAACTACTTCTCTACTAACACTTTATGATTTCTTCAACCTCTGAGGTTTGTTCCTTCTTACTTAAAACCCTCTGCCATCACACTCATCTCATAACTGCTTGTTCACTCATTTCCTTACAATGAAGGCTGGAAGCTAATTTAGTCTTTTTTAATCCTAAACCCTGCCATTTTCTTAACACAATCTCAAGTCCTCACGCATGGCTCCTCCCATGCCTGTGCGTCTCAGTTCCTTGACTTCCTTATTCCTCGTTTCCGATGACCTCCACTTCATTTTAGCCATCCACTCAAACAGCCACCACAGAAATATAGATGATTCTGAAACTCCACATCTGAAATCGCAAATTCAGACATTCATGTGCATGTGTATGTGCACATGTGTGTTAAAAGATCTAAACTTTAATAACTTTGCTATTGTTAGAGATAAACCATTATTGTTTGAGCTTTGATATTCTTTCTTTCTTACAATAATAAGCCCCGAAGTGAATAGTAGTAGCCTGACATAGTATCATTCTTTTTCTTTTCTTTTTTCGTTTTTGGAACAATTTTATATTTACAGAAGTTGCATGTACAGTAAAAATAAATTTTTCTCTGGATTATTTAAAATTAAATAGCCAAGCAAATAACCCATCATCCTTGAATACTTTACTTCTAAATTATATCATTTGTTAGCATACAATTATTTATAGTATTCCTATTATATTTTTTTTTTTTCATTTTCTCTTCCATTTCAGATTTTAGTAATTTGAGCATTTTCTCTTTATTTGGTAGGGTAGGTATTGGCTTTGGTATCTGTCAGTCTGTCTAACTAAACCTTTATACAAGAACCAACTTCTGGGTTCATTAATTTTCCCTATCATATTTCTATTCTCTATTACGTTTCTCATCTAATTTTAAAAATTTCCCTTCTTATCTTTGTTTTGGGTTTACTTTGTCTCTATTTATTAAATATCTAGTTTTTTAGAATGAAAAGTTAGGTTATTGATTTTGAAATCTTTTTTTTTTAAATACAGGCATTTACAGTATAAATTTCTCTCCTAGCACTGCTTCAGTGGTATCCAATAAGTTTGGGCATATTGTGTTTTCATTATCATTTATATCAAAATATCTTCTATTTTCCTTTGTGATTTTTCTCTCTATGACATATTGTTTATTTAGGATATTTACAAATTTCTGTAAATGTTTATTTTTAATATAATTTCATTGTGGTTAGAAAATATACTTTGTACTGCTTAAATCATTTTAAATTTATTGAGCCTATCCTGCAGCCCTAGCATATGTTTTATGGAAAATGTTCCACAAAACTCGAGCTGTCTTATGGTTGGGTTTTGCTTGGTGTAGTTTTTCACGTTTCTTGGCTTTCAACCATGTGAGCATTTAAATCTAAAGTGTGTCTTTTGTAGACAGCATATATTTGGATCATTTAAAAAATCTATTTTATAATCTATGCCTTCCAATTGAGGTGTTTTGTACATTTGTGTTTAATGTACAGTGAGGTAAGATCTATACCTACTGTATGTTATTTGCTTTCTACATCTTACTTTTTTTGTTCTTCTGTTTCTTCATAACTGTCTTCTTTTGAATTAAGTAAATTTTTTAAATTTCATAATATTATGAGGGTACAAATGTTTTTGTTACATGGTTTGCTTTTGTACTGTTTGAGTGAAAGTTGAAAGTGTGCCCATCACACAGATAGCATACATTGTCCGTGTTAGGTATGGCTTCATCCAGCCCCTCCTGTGCAGGTGTCTTTTTGATAAAATGACTTTTTTTCCCTTGGGTAGATACCCAGCCGGGGGATTGCTGGATCAAATGGTAGGTCTACTTTTAGTTCTCCATACTGTTTTCCATAGAGGCTGTACTAATTTTCAGTCCCACAAACAGTGTATAAGTGTTCCTTTCTCTCTGCATCCACACCAACATTTATTGATTTTGGACTTTTTAGTAAAGGCCATTCTGACCAGGGTAAGGTGAAATCTCTCATTGTGGTTTTAGTTTGCATTTCCCAGATGATTAGTGACATTGAGCATTTTTTCATATGTTTATTGGACATTTTTCTATCTTCTTTTGCAAAGCTTCTGTTCATGTCTTTGGCCACATGCAGAAGAATGAAACAAGATCCCTATCTCTCAGCATTTACAAAAATTAATTTAAGATGGATAAAGAATTTAAATGTAAGGAATGAAACCCTAAGAATTCTAGAAGAAAATGTTGGAAAACTCTTCTTGATATCATCTTCAATTAATTTTTGTATATGGTAAGCGATAGGGATCCTGTTTCATTCTTCTGCATGTGACTATTGGGTTTTCCCAGCATTTATTTATTGAATATGGCCTCCTTTCTCTGGTCTATGTTATTGTCTGCTTTTTCAAAGATCAATTGGTTGTAGGTAAATGATTTTATTTCTGGGTTCTCTGTTGTGTTCCATTGGTCTATATCTCTATTTTTATACCAGTACCATGCTGTTTTGGTTACTATAGACTTGTACTATAATTTAATGTCAGCTAATGTGATGCCTCCAGAATTTTTCCTTTTACTTAAGAATGCTTTGGCTATTTTGGGCATTTGGAACCTTTCTGGTTCCAAACAAAACTCAGAATTGTTTTTTCTAGATCTGTGATATACAACATTGG